TTGGGGGCTGAACCTAATCGACACCCCAAATAAGCGGCGTGAATCGAGCCGAGCCACGAGTCAATTCGACGAAGTTGTCGTGTTGCCAACATGAAGTCAACCATCATCCAAGACAGTGGCTTGGACGACCCAAGTGGCAACATGTACTACCGGTAGTACACAAGCGAGAATTTGGTCGATTACATTATGAATGACTGGACAAGATTTGATGTTATTTACTTCGAAATCTTAATTTTTGCTTCGAAATATTTTAGTGCTAGCATGCATGTACTGTGCACTACTTCGATGTATATGCTTATGAGTGAGGGGAGGCAGTTTTTCGTGTTTGGGGTTTTGCTCGTGGATTTTCAGGTAGAGTTAGCCGTGAGGCCTCACTCGTGGTTAAATGGTGTGGTGGAGTTTTATTTAGTGGGCATTACTGGGTTGTTGCTTCATAGTCGAGCAGCCCAGTAAGTGTAATATCACTCCATCATAGCTAACGTAAAACAAGAAAACAAGCCGTGGGCCCTATATCTTTGCGAAGGTACAGTATTGTAACCGTGTTAGAGTGTACTTGTGAGCTATAGTGCTGGTCTACCATACAGTTCGATTGCCTACGCGTCGATACGTATAAGGATGCCCAAGCAATTCTCGTTAACAGTAAGTTCCACAGTTTAACCACGAGCAAAACAACAACACATGACATTTTCGGTGACCACCAGTAAAAAGTCAAATGGCCCCAAGTTTTTACCCTATTCCCATGAGTGAGGCACGGCGAGTTCGACGAGTACGGTATGGCGAATGGAGGTGAGAGGAATGCGAGTTGCTCTAAGCTTACGGTGGAGAGATGGAGGAGAGGCAGCCTTCCACAACCAAACTACCGGTACACGCCCCCAAGCTAACACCATCGTGGATCCTGGTCCAACTAATGTTAACGCCATGCTGTACCATTAACGCGTGTTGGGTAGCTCTTGGTATAAGGAACCATTTTTGCCTTAACGTTAGTCGTAGATGGGTACACCTTTCCCATGCATAAGCCACCAGCCAGTACAGTAGTTCAGGCAGTGTTGTATTCGTACGCTTGACGTTAGCCAGTCCTTGGACACTAAGAATGACGCACACCTCCAACTTGAGACGATATCGCCATGCATTTGTGACGCCCAAAGAACTTGAATTTGTGCGTTTCAAAATCCTTCAACTCACGCTGAGTATACTTTAATCCAGTGTTTCGTGAATGTTTCGTAAATCAGTGGTATTTTTCTATACTTGAAGCACCATACAAACTCCAGCATAAAGGAAAATCGATACTTCCGTTTTACGAAACAAAATGTTTCGTGACTGCATTGAAATTGTTTCGTATTTATTTCGTAAACCGTGTATATCTTTTATCTATCTACATGTATACTAACAGTAAGCATTTGCATCCAGAATTATCAGAAATAACCAGGAGATCCAAATTCGTCGAAAATACCCGAAGTTACACATCGATTGGAGGTCTGGTTATAATGGCCAGTTTTCACAGTTGTACAAGTGTTTTGCGTGTGATTTTGTACTACAGTATAAAGGGACCAAATTTAGAGGTGCGGTGGAAATGCTCTAAGGCTGCCACAAAAAATGTCAGAAAACAGACTTTTTTGCAAATTTTCAGAAATATTTTGACAACTTTTCAAATGACACTACCAAATCTGGCATTTATAAATGAACATAATACGTCGAATTTTTACTGTTTTCTGACAAAAAAATTCAACTGCAACTGCAACTGTCCAATTTTCTACCAACATGATATTCTATCGCTAGAGTATATCAAAACAAATTGACAATATTTTCTCACCTCCCATTTGTAAAGGGAATTAATTCTCTGTCAGAATATTAATTGACGTCAAATTTCCAAAGAGTAAAAGCGACCACGATTGTTGGCTCCGGGATATAGCACTCATAGCACCGAAGTGTCATTTCACGAGTCTTTCGAGAGCACACGGAGAGTTATACTGAGCGACGTATGATCCCAGTCGTTTATTTTCGTTTAAATAAGACTAACACCCGCAGTCATTTCGATAATCGACCATCTCAACTTCGTGAGCTCGGTGGTTGCTTTGACTTCGCGGCGATATGAGCAGCGAGTAGTTGCTGCCAGGGACACGGAAATGACAGCTTTGTACGTTCTTGGGCAGAGGAAATAAGCGCACGCGCTCTTGTAGGGACATGGGCACCACCTGCGCAATCCCGAGGTTGATTTTCAAATCTTCAATGTGGTACACACCTACAAATACCTTGTAAATAAAATCATCACAAAACTAGTATCAATACCCAATTCATGCCACACCATCGGATGGGCCTTGGCCCACGGCGTGGCGTTCATCACGTTAGCCCGTAGCCACCGTACAATCGGAGCTGTGACGATGATCTGCCCGCCGCAGCCAATGTCGCTCACTTCCCGACCAATCAATTCCGACAGCCCCACGTACATCATGCGACCTGTGACAGGGTGCACTTGGTTGACCAAGTCGCCTTCAGATGGGTTGGATGCATGGATCCCCATCCGCACCCTTACGCCGTGAAACACCATCTTTGGTCGCTTCAAGAACGATTGATGCGTTGTGATGGTCGCACTGCCAGGCATGTGGCAGTCCACAAACGCCCGGGGCCACTCTTGCTGCAACAGCTTCTGCTGGACGTCCAAGCAATATGCGACAGCGTCGGCAATGTTGTGAAACGCCAGCTGAAACGAATCCCCGGCAGTTGTGATCTCGTACCCGTGGTGTGGCACCAAGAGCGAGCGCAGGAGGTTGTCGTGGATGTCTTGTGCGTCGTGCATGACACTACCTAAAGCTCCCCAGAGGGCGCTGGACGACTCAATGTCTGTATTGACAAACACGGGAAAGTGTTTCGGGGGTTCGTTGGCCTGAATCTGCTTGATCACGTCCTCAGGGACCATACACCACGACATCATGCACTGCTGGTTGGCCACCAGCAGAAACGCCAACGCAATGGGCGACATGAAGTAGAACAGGTTGCTCGTGATGAGGATCCAGTTGGGCACAAAGTCGAGGCTCTGCTGCAAAGACATGGGCATCACCGCCAACGTCCACCCGACTCCAAAGTAGGGCAGCGCCGTGAGGTCATAGATGAGCCTATAAATCGCTTAGTAGTGCATACTGAATTAGTAGAAGATAAGATATCACCTACAATATGTGCTTGTGAAAATACACACATATATATATATATATATATATATAGTACTACTGATTGATTGAAATGGTGGATAGAGGTTTACCGGTTACGTACAATTATAATTATATTATACAGGTATTAACAAATTTGCTGTACCACATATCTCCACTTAAACCTCTATAAACAGATAAGTTCAGGAGAAATCAGATATAGGTGTATAGAAATTATATGGAAGCACAGTGAAAATTGAGCATCATTCCTGTTTAATTTGGACCATAACTTCAAAGATACTCTAATTAGGACTCTCTAAGCGTTAAAATCGGATTTCTAGTGAAATTCTCTACATGAAAGTGTACCTATTGTCAAGGCAATAACCTATTTTGACTAAGATACAGCTGTTCAAAGCCCAAAAAGTGAAACCTATCAATCATTTCCAATCGGAGGTAGTATATATATATATATATATACTCGTAAACTGGTCGAGATATGTTTCCCATATGTGGTGCATTGTACGTACAAGATTAGCTTGAGCCGAATGTACAGCGGCTTTTGCACGATCCGACACTCGACGCTCTCGAGCTTTTGCCGCGTGCAATTCAGATACAGCACTCTAGACGTAATTGTGACGATTGTCCTAGCAATATATATATATATATATATATATGGACGTACGCGGACGAGACGGCGATGATGACGACGGACTGCGCCACCGACGATGTTACGAGGAACGACCGGAACCGCGACGCGTAAAAGCTGGCCTAATGGCAAAATAAATAAATATATATATGTATATATAGAGAGAGTATAGTGGAAACGTACGGCTACATACGACACCAACATCATGAGGTTTATGTACATGTAGAAGCGCACAAACACCTTTTCCTGGTGCGCGCCTCGGTCCACTGTGGTTTTCTAACGCCCAGCATAAGTGGATCCCTTAGGACACCAACATCTGAGGCGACGTACCACCAAGCGAAGCAGTTCCACGACTAGGATGAGCATCCAATACGCTCCTGAGATCAGCGATGCATCCCCAATGAACAGACAAATCTTGACGTAGTACGGCGGCTCGCACAGACCCGGGCTGGAGCCGGTACCGACTTCGCGGCCGATGAATCGAAACCCACCAACGTCGTGATCTTCGTCAAGGATGAACCATGTGGACGTCTTGCAGAGGTACTGGTGGATGACGGCGCTGACCACAGCGATCCGGAACAGCGTGTAGATGGATTTCCAGATGAAGAAGTGCAGCATGGCCGAGCACACGCAAGACGACACGAGCTTAGAATACTTGCGCAGCGTCCACGTCGCCGCCACGGACGCCACACAGGCCACACCCAGCACGATCGCGTACAAGAAACTCCACACAGGGAACGGATAACTCTCCTCGTCGAGGTAGGATATCGCAGGCGACATGACGTTTGAACTTTCACGCAATAATCGAACGTTAGCTTTGGAGTTGCCCGAAAGGTCTACGTCATTTTGATTGGACATAAAGCCATGAGACACTCGTGAAATCTGATATTTGGAAATGCAGTAATCCGATTGGAGGTTGATTTGAATATTGGCCAATGAGATCGCTTAAATGATGAACGAAAAACACATCAGAAAGTGCGCACAGGCGCCTGAGGCACAATCCGGATAACAATTGTCCTGTATTGGTCAATGCCTCGTTTTTCAACGTATATGTTGCTGCTAGCCGATAAGCTCTTGCGCCATTGCTTTACTCCATTCAAATTCATGTGAGCGTACTCTGCATAAGCGGTCCCTTGATTCGATCTAAGGGCAAAGGTGAAAAATGTGTCGTCTATCCTCCAAGGCAATATCGTCCGGATAACGTGTATCTGGACAATACGCCTTAGGTGCATAATTGAGATCTTATATATTACGGTATGTACTAACGTTACTAACTATTAATATTATAAAAGTAGTACTGTAGTATACTATTATAACGTTAGTACAGTACACATTTAGGCAGCCTTTGGGGTTTTCAATGCAATCAACCTCGTACTAGGTCAGAATGTGTATTGTTGGTTCATCGCCATCGGGGAGGATAAGGAGAAGGTTCGGGATCCATGAGGAAGTGCTGCATCAAGGAGATTTGGAAAGTGCACGAAGACGGTTTCGCGCACTGCTTTCTGACCAATCAGAGCGAGTCGAAGTGAACGGGTGAAATATATTGGATGTTTGCGAATCTAACTGTCAAATCACGAAGCATACTGACAGTCCACGAAACATAATATTAGAGAGGTTTCGCAAGCGTTCCATTCCCATGAGTGAATTTGACATTCCCACGAAACAAAATGCCCAGGTCGCGAAATATATTGAAGCTCCACGAATCTAAATGGGATTCCACGAAATATTCAAGATATTTTTCGAAATTAACCGCAATATGATAGTAACGTTAGTATACTGTGCTAGTACCATAGATAGTAAGTACTAGTACTACGTACAGTAGTATGGTGCACCTCAACTATAACCTTCCAGCTGCCAAATTCAAGACTAGAGGTTATATTATTTAGCGTACATGTAATGTAGTTACCCAAAAAGCTAAATAAGTTATATCCCACTTTTCTCAAATTTTTCTTGCTGCTATTTCGTTTTTATTTCTCAAAATTCTAGCAAATAGAGATGTAGAATCGAGAGATCTTGACGTGGTGAAGAAATTCTACGCCTCAGATTTAAATTTGGTGAAGAATTGGTCAAGAAATTGACATTTAACCAAGCGGTATTTTGCATGGGCGAATTGAATTTGGCCTGATATTTGTATGAGACTAGTATCCGTACATCATATCCGGATGTAAATGGACCTTTAACCTACCACTAAAGTGATAAAACGCATGAAACCTGGTACCGGTAGTTTATAAGTGATGTGCTCCATATTTTGCCTGGAATCATATCTACAGTCCTAATGGAACGTACTTACATGAAAGCGTCTTTTATATCTGCTGCGTCGAAGCACTCTATACCAGAGTCTTAAAATAAAATAAACGTTAACTGTAAATGATGATTAATCTGTATCAGAGGTACAAATCATACCGGTAGCAATCATGACGATTAAAGTATTATACTTCGAAGTACATCCTTATAATACTTGAAATATTACGTTTGTCTCTTCAGAATGGTGCGTTGCTTGCGAACGTAACGTTAGAAAGCCGAGTATCTTAGTTGGGCCTCACTAAGATTCTGCATGCAGATATGGGATTGTGAAGTCGAAGAAATTAATAACAACGTCAAAATCGGCCCACTACAGGAAAATTCCTATGCATTCGACTCGCCCAAACGGGGGACAGGAAGGTAATGCATCAATTGTTGACATGGCACCAAACTGTCTGACTTTTAGCCAATAACATATCGATATTTTGTGTCGGTTGGATATGATAATATTCGTCTCTATATTTTATTACTCGTCAAATGTTGAAGTCTGGTCAGTTTTTTTCAATCTCAAATAGATTGTCAACTAGAAACCCTTGACGCTGTCCCGACATACAATCATACGAGAGCGTCACGGCAGTTGTGCATAGCTACGTGATACATGGATGGACTCACTTTAGAGCCATCGCTACCATAGATAAAGAAGCAGCAGTGCATTGCTCGTCGCAACGAGTGGATGACCTCCACAGTGCCGCTACTATTGTGATCCACAGGAGTGAATTAAAATGTGGCTTCATTTTTTTACGCTGACTAATTAAATTCACGTAAACTTTTATTACGCATTGCGAAATGCATGCAATTATATTTTTGATCAAATTATTTTGCATATGAATTTAATCGAATCTTAGTACAAATATCAAGGTTTTAAAGGAGTGTCATGAATTGGTTCACTTGACCATAAAGCTCAAAACATTTCATTTCGATACAAATCTGAAATGTAGTCCAATCATGCTCAATGATACGTCAAAAAAATCGTGGCGTTTTAAATTCTCTTGTGGTGCTATCAGCATTAACGTTAAAATATTCGTTCTCGTTCTCGAGCTAAGTTACTGGGATTTGAAGTCGTGGCCAAAACTTCACCAAAAACAGTGTCAATAATTGATGCATTACCTTAAATATCGTGGTGATAAGCTGTAAGTTCCCAGGAGGCTGCGGATAATGACGAACATAGCCATCGTTGGCGACATAAGCGAGGATAAACGTATGTCTAGACAAAGGAGACGAGTTTTAATGCAAGTCGACTTAGTATTCGATTCCGTTGTTCTAAATGTGTACGTATGGCCGCCAGTTCCGATGGTTTTTGGAAAAGTATCCACCACTATATTCCACGAGAACACCGTTACGTATTTTTAATATAAAATAAGTATGTCATAATTTAAAAGGATAACATCAAAACATAGCATCAAGTTAACATACCCGTAAGTTAACATCAATGTTTGTCATAAATTATGACAATGTTAGCTATCGAGAAAGTACTTGACTATGTGTCGTTGAATTGCTCAGCAACGGCTTGTCTGGGCGGGGATACATTTAATATGAAAACTGAAGAGATGGCTGCGGGCTATATAACGAGACGTGATGTGTGGTGATTGCACTTATTTAGCATGCGTGAAGTGACCTCAAACATGCCAAAAAACTGAAATATAGCCTACTTTGGGTGTGATTATATCCCGCAATAAGCATCGTTACACCGCCCATGCCTCTTTATTACGTAGTATCAATGCTGCTGTACATGCTACCATGTTCTTGTGTTGATCAGTGATCTATGAGCCACGAAGCAGCACATTAAAGACGCATTTTGGCGAAAACTTCAAATATAGCGTGAAACATGTCAAAAAACAAATATTGTCATCTTGAGCTATAATTTATAGCATACATTGATATGTATGGATAACTTGGCGAATACGACACTTTCATCCGACATTGCTGTGATTGGTCAAAATGTAAGTACCGGTAAGTTACATCTTGAGTGCTTTGAATCGAAACAGCACTGGAG